CAACCAACAATGTTCCCCGCCTGATGTGCCTGTGGTTCTTATGGAGATTTTTTTTTTTTTTTGGGGGGGATCAAATTGTTACTCGTATTTATATTGATATTATCAAAGCAATTATAAGCATTTGCAGGTTAAGAGCAAGTAATATTAATAGAGTGTTCTATAGCTCTATATATCTCTAATCTCATCTCACACGAGATGATCCAAGTCCCAGGTGCTGTAAATATGAGCCACATTACTCTTTGAGCCAACACCGGTGGTCATATATGAAGGCAAGATCATGGAAAAGTATCCATAATCAAATGTTACATCGTAATCGCGCCTGCTCATCAAATGTAATACAGTTGACAATACAGTGCTGCCCATAGAGTGGTAGTGTTTTAGATAAACACAATCAATCATCCGTCTAACCAATGAAGTGTTGCAGCACTCAAAACACCCAAAAAAAAAAAGTGTTATCAGTACAAATTTGTTCAACTTCTTGACGCAGATCTTGATAGCTACTGCTAACACTTTCATATTACTAGAAAGAAAATTAAACTACTGCTACTACTACTAAATTAAAATTAACCCTGAAATGTTTTTTCCCAATGTTTCGAGGACATGACAACGTGGGTTCAAGAATCGATTGATGATAGATCACTTGTGGTTCCATTTTTTAAAGACGCTCACAAAGCCAGGTCCCAACAAAAGACATGTCAAGTAGCCTCCTTGTCGGGACAACTGGCATGGTTTTGGGATCTAGCACCAGCGATACTCTCTGCTAGCGAAGCTGCCCCGTTCACAAAGAGTATCGCCCTATTCTTCTTCTAAATCCCACCAAAGAGGGATCAATCAAACTAGGCAATCACTAATTACTATAAGGGACTACACTACATGCAATTCATTTACTACGGAATACTAATTAAAATTCTTGAGGTTATTTATTACGCGAAGTAATTAAACTGTGTTTATACGTAATAAACGAGCTCGCGCTACTTTGATCGATCAAGCTCAGAAAGTTAAGAAGTCTGTGTCGATTCTTGGTTCGACTCACGAGTTCTTGTAAAGGGACTAATCTCTAGTATGATTTAGAGTTTTGCTTGTATCAAAGAGTTAGACGACCTGTAATCTAACCGGTGAACTTGAACAAAGGTGTGAGCATTCAGTTGTAAATTTGTTCTTGTATGATTTAGGGTTTTGCATATACCAAAAAGACATGAGACGGTATAATGGGATCATGAATCTGAGAATAATAGCAAACAAACTCTGCAACATTGCAGCGTCCATGTCGATCAGATTAAACGGACAGTCTCTTTGTTTGTCCATTTCTTGGAGAATTCTTATCAAGAATCTTAGATAATGAAGGGAAAATCAATAATAGAGCTGGAGTTGTGGTCCTGCTTTAGTGTTGCAAACAGCTTATCATATCATCGTCACCCAAGTTGATAAGAGTAAAAGAAGATGTGCTTATATACGCAGCCTACACAATTGTTTGATTTTGATATTCAAAGTTCAGGCTATGTGCCAGAATCAAATAGGATAAGAATCTTCCACAATTCAATGCACTTCGCTAATTATTTCTTTTGCTTGAGAGTTTGATAGCAATTTGTCTACAAACTCAAATTAGGACACCCCCCCCCCCCCCCCCCCCCAAAAAAATGTAATTACTGCTTTGATTGTGCATATGGTGGGAATACATGCTAGACTTCTTACCAAATTCTTGCTTCTACCAACAAATTTACGAATGCAAACCATGCTACACGTGGTATTGACTATTGAGTGTTCTTTTTTCTTTTTTTTTTCTTATAAAATATTATAATTTTATGAAATCTGCACCGATTGCGGAATTAATATCACACACATAGATATACATATAATAAATATCTAAATAAAGCTCTAAAAATATTCAATAGTTAGATAAAGCACCTCCAGCCCTAAGAACATTTGTTCAATTTCAAGGGGTGGCGAGTAATTTTGAAGTTCTTTTTAAGATTGTCTACCTTCTTTAATTTTTGATGTGCTTACCCTATATTTGAAAATAATTGAATAGAAAAAATGTGTTATTAAAAACATTCCTGGTTTCATGTACCCTAAGCAACAATTTTGAGAAAAAGAGCATAATCATGTGCTTTTTAAATTTGTTTTAAAAGGTGACAAGTGTTTTTAAAAAGGGTCAAAATGGTTCTTACTAACCTGGAAAATGCTGGCCGGCCCTCAAACACTTCAACTATGAGGCCCCGTGAGTTGCTCTTTCTGTCTGTTTTTTTCTACAGACAGCAAAATGTGTTGGCGTTCTAGAAATGCAAATATTTTCTTGCTTAAATTGCCACCTCATTTTCATTCCTAGAGATCTTGAAAAGCAAATATGTTTTTTATAAATATTTAAATGTTCAGATTGACCTACTAGGAAATGAAAATAATTCGCGGGTTGACTATAAATTTTTTTTTTTTTTAAAAAAGTACTTTTTATCATTTTGCAAAGAATCAAGGCTACCCGAAAATAGGTTCTAGTCTTCTTTAGATTTACACTAGGACCCCCAATTTAAGTTTGTCTTTCCTTGCGTACATTAGGCTATTACAAAAATAATATTTTTTGTGATGTGATGTATGTGAGATAAAAAGGTGATTGGGAAGATAAAAAAGTGTTTGAAATTTGTGAAGTAAATTTTTTTATTTGAAATCAAGCCAATCCAAATGACGGAGGGGTCAGTTTTGAAAATTTTAATTTATAGTGTGTAAATATATGTGTAAAATAAAGTTGAACCTCCTAATTTTTTACAATTTTAGTTTATATTATGAGAGTTTATACATATATATATATATACATACACCCACACACATTTATATATATATATATATATATATATATACATATACATACACCCACACACACACACACACACACACATATATATATACGAGAATTATTTTGAACATAACATATTAAAATAATTTTGTTAGGAAAAATTTTGACCAACCCAGAAAAAAAAAATCCTGACTCCGTCACTGAGCAAACATACTTTGGCAAAATGTTCACAAGCCATTTTTTAATCCGCAAGAATTCTGGCACATAAAAGCACCAACACAGAACCAGATGCTGGGGAAATCCACATATATTAGATTTTTAAAAAAAAAAGTCGCTCAGGTTGCAATTGGACCATAATCTACTAGTGAAATTTGGCTTCCAAGATTTAGTCTTCCAAAATTGCTTGTTTTGCGGTTAATATACTAGCAGTATTTCAACTGATGAGCTTCACCTCAGTTACCTACTCCACCAGCAGACAACGAGGTGGAGTGGAGATGGTCATCCTAGTCAAAACAAAAGAGATTCGAAGGAAAGAAAATGAAGAAGAATACAAGAATAGGATCAATTTTTCTGAGAAAAAGAGATTCAAAAAAGAAGTTTCAAAACTTTTGTTGCCAACCACCTGTTTGAAGTTCAATTATCTTTTCTCACCTAAGATTATGCATGCATGAACGAATGAATGCAAGCTTTGAAATTTGAAGTGATGATTTAAGTGCTTTTTGTTATGATTTAGTAAATTTTAAACCATTATGATGTGGAACTATTATTATTATATTTGCATTTAAATTGCAAATTTAAATTTATAAAAAAAAAAAGAAGCAAACTTATAAGAGCTTATTACTCTTTAGTATACCTCTTGATGCACACAATACATTTTAAATACCATAGAGGTACATTAGTATAGATTAGAAGAAATTAAGAGCTAATTATGATAGCCAACCTCAAACTACTATGTTGATTATGCAAGAGGGTCTCTATTAACTGAATAAATATTAATATTAGATTCTAAATGAAAGTAATAATATGATGACATTGTTACACATATTTGACAACTCGACGTTGAGTGATAAACTAAACCTAATATTCTAACTCACAAAGTAAATACTTCTTCCGTCCCACTTTGATAGTTCTGTGTTCCTTTTTCATCTGTCCTAAATTGTAGTTCACTTACCAATTGAAGAATGTAGTTGTATTTTAATTTTTCTAAAATACCTTTATTTAATATAAGTAGTTGTTACTATAAACTTACCCCATTTAATGAGAGTTGATTTTTTTTTTACCATCAATTCAAGTTCCCATAAAGTTGTACCATATTTAATGTGACGGTATTTTAGGAAAATAGCAATCTAAATTTACTTTTCCAATAAAGTTAACTATTTTTTCTTAAACTGTGTGAAAAAAGAAACAGAACTATCAAAGTGAGACGGAGGGAGTAGAATTTTATTTTTTTTAAACAAAATTTCAATTGATATCTTCAAACTAGTGACCAAACTTGTCATATTTTTCATTATTAAACTTACCATATTTAACAGTAGAATAATTCTCGATATGTGGTCACAAAAAGTCACATAATTAAAAGGCAAAAGTTACCATTAATGGTGGGTTAAAAACACAAAGGGCCAAGATTCCGTCCATAGACACAATCATTAGACTCTTACCTTTTCATTTAATACTTTCTATTTTTTTACTTCCAAAAATCTCGCTAATTGCCCCGCGACGAGGAGAGCCAATCAACGGCTAAAACCCAGTTACCAATACGAATCAAAGGCCGAGATTCAATCTTCTCATCTTCAAACAAAAGTCTCTCCCTCATCCCACCTATAAATTAATATATTCCATTTCACCGTCCCCTCCATTTCTCACTCCCCCTCTTTCTCTCTCTTAAATTCCCCACGTTTCGCTCTCTAGTTTTTTCTCCTGTTCTGGAAAGATTTTTGAAAGTGTTTCTGGAAAACAAAAACAATTTCTTTTGTTTATGTTTTCCAGAGAAAGAGAACCATTTTCAGAATCTTGAATTTTGCTCAAAAGTCTGCAGCTCTGTTTATATGCCATACCATTTCATGGTTGCAAGATTCCATTTTGGTTAATCTCCCTGTGCAGAAAAAGAAAACACAAATGAAACCCTAAAGAAGCAAATTTTTACTGGGGTTGCTGAATTCTGGTGATTATTAAAGCGGGGTGTGCTTAAATTTGCAGAATTTCCAAAAGGGTAAGCAAATCTTTTTGAAAATTTCAATCTTGCTGTTTATGAAAACTCAGTTTTGAGCTTGATTTTATGATTCTCTGAAAGAAAGAAATAAAGTTTGAACTTACGGTTGCTGAATTCTTGTTATTTTGAGGTATGATAGGCTTTAAGTTTACAGAGATTCTAAAAGGGTAAGCAAATATGTGTTGGTTCATTTTCATTCATGCTATTTGCAAAATCAGTTTGTAGCTCGAATGTGTTTTTCTCGAATAACGAACAAAATCTTGGAAGTGGGATAAGCTTAAATTAACAGCATTTGTAGAAAGGTAAAATGCTGGGTTTTTTTTTTGGGTGCAATATTTCCCTGCTTATGGAAACCAAATTTTGAGATTGATTTTGCTCTATTGTGGAAGGAGGAGCAAATTTTTGTAGAGGAGCAAATTTTTGTTTTCAATTAGCTGGAACTTACACTTCAAAGTTGAGATCTCATCCCATGACAGACAGCTCAAGTTTGATGTACTTTTGGCTCCATGTTAATATGTATTATTATTGAGATTCAGTTCTCCCAAAGTTTTGATTTTTTTTTTCGGGTTTCTTAATTGTTTTCTGACTCTGCTTTGTGCGAATTTTGTTTGTTGTTGCAGATTTGTTTTGGGAATGTGAAGGAGAATAGGAAGTAGTGAAGCTTCAGTTTTTGGGAATTTCCTGGGATTTTGTTAGTGGAAAAATGGGATTTGAGTTGGGAGCTTTGCTAGGAAAGATGAATATATTATCATCAACCTCTGATCATACTTCAGTGGTATCATTGAATGTTTTTATTGTGCTTTTGTGTATATGTATCGTGATTGGTCATCTTTTGGAGGAAAATCGGTGGATGAATGAATCCATTACGGCTCTCATTATTGTAAGTCCATCTTCCTGTTTATTTGTCTGTGATTCATGTAGAACATATGATTGTGTGCAAGTATTAGCAAGTTGAATTTCATACGTGTGACATAGAAGTATTAGTTTTGTGAGTGGTGTAAATCAATACTTTTTTAGCTTTTATTTATGTGCTTTTGGTATTAAGTAAAATGTTGGGCTGCTTGGATGACAGGGTGTATGCACTGGAGTCGTAATTCTACTAATTAGTGGAGGAACAAGCTCGCATCTGTTGGTGTTCAGTGAAGATCTTTTCTTTATTTATATGCTTCCTCCTATCATTTTCAATGCTGGGTATGTAGTAAATTTACTGAACCATTTTCTTCCCTACGTGGATATAGGATTCTGAAAAGAGGAAAAAGTTCAAAAGAAAAAAATAACCTGAGATTCAGCATTATTTGGCCTTGGTTTTGCTGGGAGTATGAATTTTAGTAAATTAATTGCTTAGATAGCAGGCAAATGACAAACTTAGCTGAAGTCTAGTTTCTTAAAGGGCATTTTCTGCACAGGGCTGATTTGGGATCAATTTTCATTCCCCTTAATTATCAGGTTCCAGGTTAAAAAGAAGCAATTCTTTCGCAATTTCATTACTATAATGCTGTTTGGAGCACTTGGTACTTTGATATCCTTTGTCATCATATCCTTGGGTAAGCACTTGTTTTTGTTGCACTTTTTTTTTTCTTGGTTCCTTTATACATCAAGTTCCCTTTGAGTTTTTTTCTTTCCCCCTTTGTTTCATGCAAGTGAAGCAGAAAGGATTACCTTGCAACTCATAGAACATTCAAATTTGTGAAGCAATAAGCTATTCTGTACACGAAATTATGCTCTCATAAGCTTTCTGAACTTCTCCTGGTCCCCCTTTTGTTCATGAATGTATGATGTACATTATATCTTTCCTAAGGAACAAAAAATGTGGAAGATTGAGACATGAGAATGTTTTACTCGTACAATAAATGACATTCTCGAACTTACTCTTCTTTGACAAATCTTCAATGACTTCAACTAGTCCTTTTTGTCTACTATAGCCATAATCAGCAATTGTCTTCCACTTAGTAACTAATTAGATTCTAATCTTGTATTATTACTTCATACCTTAAAATTATGTTTCATTGCTCCCGAGGTTCTTTCGTTTTTACCATTTAGGAAAAAGAACATGCAGAAAATATAACCGACTTCTCATAGCATGCTTGAGAATTATGTTTTCTTATGTCATGTTTATAATGCAAACAAACGTCTTTTTTTTTTCCTTTTAAATGCGAACAAACATCTTGCAGTAAATATGAATTACAGATTCCATAATCAATATTTTATAGCTACTGCAATTACAATACTAATTTTAATGGCTTCTCTGTTGCTAAATATTGCTTTTTTGTGCAGGTGCTATTGGCTTTTTCGAGAACATGAATCTTGAACCTCTGAAAATAGGAGATTTTCTTGGTACCATCGCCTATTTTTTTTATTTAATTACTCTCTTCCCTAACAATGCAACAATTAATGTGATTTTCTTTTTATTCATGACCTTATTTATGATTCCAGCAATTGGAGCAATCTTTTCAGCTACAGATTCTGTTTGCACTCTACAGGTAAGCAGGCATTTGCTAATTTAGAATGAAAAACTTTTTTGCATCTCTACAAGGCTGATGTTTATATCTGATTGGTGCAGGTTCTCAATCAGGATGAAACCCCCTTACTTTACAGTCTGGTGTTTGGGGAAGGAGTTGTAAATGATGCCACATCAATTGTGATCTTCAACGCGGTCCAGAACTTTGACTTGTCTCATGTCAACACTAGTGTGGCTTTAAAGTTGATTGGAAACTTCATATATTTATTTATCACAAGTACTGTTCTTGGAGTTGTTGTGAGTCTCTATATCTTTCTTTGTTAGTGTGTGTGTTTAACTCTCTTGGTTGGCATCTGTACGAATTTAAGATATTCTCGATAACCTAGCTTGTGACAATACATTTGGCTTTAGGCTGGGCTGCTTAGCGCATTCATCATAAAGAAGCTCTACTTTGGCAGGTTGGTTAATAATTGCTTTAATGCTAGACTTGCTTCAGGAAAAGACCATGCTAGATAATTTCTTGCACCATTGACATTGCTGTATGAAATTTTTTAACATGTATGCATCATTTGCTTTCTTGTTTGCTGATTGTCTCCAGGCATTCGACTGATCGTGAGGTTGCTCTAATGATGCTGATGGCATACCTTTCATACATGCTAGCTGAAGTAAGTTTCCTAAACAGCATATATTCCTCCATTGCTCTTGCAAATACAAATTTTTCTTTGTTTTCCTCTGGAGCTTGATTTGGGGATGTCAATTTTCCTTTGCAGTTATTTGACTTAAGTGCTATCCTCACTGTGTTTTTCTGTGGGATTGTGATGTCGCATTACACCTGGCATAATGTAACAGAGAGCTCAAGAATTACCACCAAGTATGTCATTCTTCGAAGAAAAGGAATCTTTTGGAATGAATTACTGGCTATTCTGTATTCTATCCGAAGAAAGCTACCGAGTTGCTGTTTCTTCTGATGAAATGTTTCTATAATTGTTTTGTTTATCACTATTTTGCAGGCATGCTTTTGCAACATTGTCATTTGTTGCTGAAATTTTTATATTTCTGTATGTTGGTATGGATGCCCTGGACATTGATAAGTGGAAGATTGTAAGTGACAGGTATACTATCTCTTTGACAGCTCACAAGTAAAATTAGTTATTATGACATATTTGCAATGATCATCCACATACAGTAGGATGTGATAAAACTTGAAGATTAAAGTGGTTGTGATTCATCTTTTCAGCCCCAAGACATCAATTAAAGTTAGCTCAATTCTACTGGGACTTGTTTTGTTGGGAAGAGCAGCTTTTGTCTTTCCTCTGTCACTTTTATCCAACTTGACCAAGAAGTCTCCAGAAGAGAAAATTCACTTCAAGCAGCAAGTATGAATTCAAAATTCTAGTTGAGAGTTCACACAGTCCTTAGCTTTTTTATCCTGTTTAATGATTATTTGATTGTGATATTACAGGTTACCATATGGTGGGCAGGTCTCATGCGTGGTGCTATTTCCATGGCCCTTGCTTATAACCAGGTTAGTTCAAAAAGTCTCCTCCAAGGGAAAGCTTTGATTTTCTTGGAATTTTAGTGTCTCTTTAGCATGTGATGGTGAAGGGATGGGAGTCTATTTTATTAGTTGTCTGACAGACTTCATTGTTGCTAATCCATGCAGTTCACAAGGGCAGGTTATACCAAACTACCAGGGAATTCAATCATGATCACCAGTACAATAACAGTTGTTCTTTTTAGTACAGTGGTAAGAATCTTAAGTTTCTTGAGTGTCATACTGAATGTGAGTTGTATTCAGCACATGGAAATTGGAATGTGGCAGACACTGCCATGGAGTAATCATATTGCACTCTTTGGGGAATTTCCCATCAACCCTATATGAAAGGTGGTAGTGTGTTGGAAATTCTGTTTCTTCTTTGCTGCATTTTTGAACTGCATGTCCGCTTTTTGCAAATCATGTTTTGATAAAATCCTTGCCTAAAGATATTAAGTATTAAACATTTCACCTTCCTGTCATTGATTTTCATCAATGGTTGCGATGAAAGAACTCTCATTAGCTAACCTGGTGTAGTGGCCATAGTCTCTGATTCTTGCATCTCCCCTTATGTGAACTTCGAGAAACTGAGACGTTATCATGTCGACAAACATCTACATTTCATTATATTCTGAGTATCAAAAGAAACATATATTTGCTGAAATCCATGTCCGTTGTCATTCAGTAACTATTTCCGGTATGTGCAGGTTTTTGGCTTGATGACTAAGCCTTTGATAAGGCTCTTGCTTCCCTCACCAAAGCACTTGAGCAGAATGATCTCTTCTGAGCCAGTAACCCCAAAATCCTTCATTGTACCTCTTCTCAATGGACAGGATTCAGAAGGTGATCCAGGTGCCCACGTGCCTCGTCCATCAAGCTTAAGGATGCTCATGACTGCTCCATCTCACACAGTGCATTATTACTGGAGAAAGTTTGACGATGCCTTCATGCGTCCTGTTTTTGGTGGAAGAGGTTTCGTGCCATACGTGCCAGGCTCACCAACTGAACAAAACGACAATCAATTTCATTGAAGGGTAATATTGCAGAAAGGCCACCAAATTCACCAGTTTCCTCTAATGCAAGTCACTTTTTTGGCCTCTTGATATTGTGTTTCGAGTGTTCTAGTGTTTCACTGTAGGGTTTTGTTCTAATTTATTATAGTTTGCGAGGAGGGATTCTCCATTAGTTGTGGTCATCAGTCAAAATTTTGCCTATGGGGGCATTCGCTGACCCCAAAGTTTGTACATGAGAACTTCAAGAGGTTCTTTTGCCCGTCAACATATTTCTAGAACACCAGATCGGTGTATGTTCCTTGAGAACTTGCCATCTCAACTTGCATGTATAATAGAAATTTTTGGCCATTAATATATGTCAACAGTAGCAGAGTGCATCTATCATACTTGTTCCTGGATTACAAATGTTGATTTACGTGTTCAAATCAAAGATGCTGTTACTGCAATGCCACAGATTGTTTATCTCAAATTTGCATGTACTCGGTTACTGCACTGCCTAATGCAGCTTAATGCTGTTAAAGTTTGCAGTCTAACGAGCCTGACGTTTGGAACTGAGAAAATTGACATGGGCATATAAAGGATCACAATAAATTGACCTTCAATCATGCGATGTATGCATGGAAGGAAGTTTTCCAAGCATCATCGATTAGGCAACTAAGCCAAACTTTCCCAAGTCAATCGGGAAGTGAACTGACTTCTACTTCACTGAGACAGGAATTGCCGTGGTGACAGCGCTCCAAATGCGGGCAAACACATATTTTATTAAAAAGATAGCCTTTCTTTACAATTATTGCGACAAGTAAAAGTGCTAAGTTTCTTTCATTTCATATAAAACTCTGCAGAGTTACACAAAGATGCCAAAGTAAACAAGGCTAAGAGCTAGTTAACAGAATCCTGAAAACCTAAACCTATGATAAATCCTTTCTTTAAACCATGGCATCGCTAATCCTGAAAATAACCTTCTTTTTAACCATGTAATAAGTATCCAACAGTCAGACTAATTAATGCAACCATGCAAACAAAGAGAGGAGGAAATCCCCGTTCAACTGTCCTCACACCAGTCTTCCTCCTCAAAGTTGCCTGCCAAATTTTACAAAAACAAATAAGATGCAATTCAAATTTGTCTCATTTAAGTGGAAAAGATCAACGGCCAAATAGATGGACAAGGAATAAAATGGCCAAATAGATGGTACAATCTCCAAAGTTTCATCAACTTAAAACTGATTCAGCCGGAGCATGAAATAGTTCTTAGAAGCCCTTCCCCTCCCAGGAAACCCCCAACCCCCCCCCCCCCCCCAAAAAAAAAAAAAAAAAGAAAGAAAGAAAGAATAAAGGAGAAGAAGCAGAGAGAAAAAGCGAAGGCATCTTTAAGGCATCACTCACCAATTCTCGCTTTAATGTTTGCTTCTCTTCAACAGCACAGCTCTTTTCTTCTGTCAGCTTTGTAATGTTAGATTTAGCCTACAGGAGAATTTCAAACAAGTCAATGCTGAAGGAGTTTCAATAAAGCCAGTAATTATTGAATTGAATACTCTTAAGTATAGCTGCAAGTATAGCATGATCATGTTCACAGTCCCAACAAAGCCATCTACATAAACTTAAACAATTGCACGAAGAGTCTGACCTGAATCAGCTCTGAATCTAATGTGATTAGCTTAGACTTCAATTCCTCAACATCTCTGGAAAATTTCAGTTTTGTTCCATCAACAACGTCCAAAGGTCTATATTCCACATCCCTATCACAAATAAGCTTCCCCATTTTAGTAGGCAGTAGGACATTTTCCTCAACTTTTGCTGAAGTCAGTACCTGTGCATCCATTACAAGTTTTTCACCCTCAAATTTCTCATCCAGCTGTCATATCACAAAAACAGGCCTAGTTACAGCAGTGCATCATAAGGGGAAAAAATCGTGCTATGAACCTTTAATTTACCCTAAATAGATAATCACACTAGAAGACATCTCTAAACCTCAATTCTCAAAGTTGCAAATGTCAAGATCTTGACAAAGCACAATTAACAATTATTGCATGTTACAATTTCCGTTTGTACAGATAGACAGTAAAACCCCCTTGGTTATGCGGATGTAGAAGGGGCATGAAAATAGATACTTAACCTGACATACTTATAACAAGTCATATGTAAATGGAAATACCTGATTATCATATGTAACAAGTCATATGTATTTTTGTGACAAATATAGTCTGTTGCACTGGGGAAAAAACCTGATTATCATTACCCAAGCAAAAGCTGTCAAGAAACAATAAATATTCTTACCATTTGAAGCGGGGGAAGATTTTCAACCCGAGTCAGCAGTTTTTCTTCTGATATTTCACTTGCAGGAGATTGTTCTAGCTTGGAAACTCCATTAACGGGTGACAGAACAGGGGATTGTGTGGGGCTAGTCAGCGAAACCTTCAGCTTGCACTCTTCAACATATTTTCCACTATCTTTTGCAAACTACAAGAGGGAAATAATAAGAAAAACAATCACTGAAAAGAATCTGATTCAAGCTGCAAGCACTTACCAAGTCAGGTGTAATATCCTCTTCAGTTGTGCCAAATGGAGCAACTGTGCTCTGAACTAAAAACTTGTCCTTGCATTGCATGTCTGAGGGAGCTGACTTCTGTGCTTGCATTGTGACTGCATAACAGAAGTTTGAGATTAACCAGAGAACATCGTCAAAATAAAAGAAATAGAGTACACAACTTGAAAAGAATGTTACATGTATGACCATATATATAAACATGAATAAAAATAGATGTCAGCCATGTACATATAATATACATATACCTGTGAAGTCATATGTTGATTTTGGCTTGATAACCCCTATATTAGGTCGCACACAATATTTCTTGGGCGAAGTAGTCTTTACCTGCAAAAAAATTACATGGTCATTAAATAGATCTCTGTTCCTAATTTGTGTGCATAGATTTCCATTTTTCTGGCAATTGAAGTACAGTCCGGTTCTTACTTTTCCGAAATTTTTAGTTCTCCAAAAAATAATGACTAAACATCAGTAAAAATTCATCCAACTAAAAAAACTTAATCCTTTTTACTCAAAGATGCTACTGATTACAAGAAATGTCGGGCAGAACTTTCCAAGTAAGAAAAGGTTTTTCACAAGCAATGAAGTACTCCACCTTGAAAGCAACATAATGATCAGAAAGATTGGCAAGGTGAACAGCACACGAACTTTGTTTCTTAACCTCAACTGAGAAGCAAAAAGGATATAAGATGTCAAATCGAAATCACATGCCAGGACCACAAGAATGGAGAGAGGGAGAGAGGGAGGAGAGAGAGAGAGAGCAGCAAAATTAAAGAATTGCATATTGTAAAACAGACATCCAATCTTTTGACTGTGCAAAGTGTGCCTAAATACACTACAAGTATGTTGGCCGCTTGTAAGCACCAGAACTCATGTTGCAGTAGTAAAAGTCAAAAATGCCTTTCGGCAGCACAAGAATGTTAGTGTTCTGACAACGTCTAGAAAGTCCTCTCTAAACCAAAAGAAGAAAAACCACTACTATAGTACTACAAACTTTCAATAGTAAAACAAGAAGAGGTATAGCATTCTGTACAATGCTAGAACTGGAGATTTCTAACTAGTAAGTATTAACCAGTCATTCAAACTTAACCACATCATGATATTATAAAACACAGCTACTTAACATTTGGATTACGTTGTTGAGCAAACTTTATTGTGCATCAAACATCGCAAGCTAGTTCCATAAAGGAAAAAAATGATGAAATGATTAAAGTGGAAATTTGTGATGCACAAAAAAAAAAGAAATGTTGTCTGGGAACATGCTGCATCCAAGATGATCTGATGAAAGCAAAGCAGGTAAAACAATCAATACAGTACTTTTCAATCTACTTAAGAGAGTACACAGACAAGAACTACACAGAAGTTAGACGAGAAACCTCTAAATTTTTGTAGACAACAATGATTTGCTTAAGAATCAGGGGTGTAAAAGAGAATGATAAACTTTGACAGTAAATTATTAGGTGGGTGACTTTTATGCTAACAAACCATATGCCTCACAGGACACAAAAAAAAGTGCGGAGAATAAATGTAGCTCCTGCTCATGAGGGAAACATTTCAAAGTATGATGACTACGCACATATAAACTTGAGTTCTCGAGGCTGAACATCCAATAGCTGCTTCTTAACTACAGGGTTTTGAACTTCCAGTTGCTCCATGATCAAAGTTCTTTATTACCTGCAACAGTGATGAATTAAGAATTGCCCAATCTGCAAGCATTTAGAAGAGTTCCTGAAGAAGAGTATGGGGAAAAAACAGTTGAACTTAGACACTAGTTGGTTTTTTTTAACTGTCAAAATCACAAAAGCAAACTAAAAAGGGCAATAAAATGAATCCCACTGAACATGGTAGCATAATTTTATTTCTGCAGAAAACTTCCACCACATCATAAATGCGGGTCATGATCAACCTTAAAATGAAGTTGCACCCTCATATAGTACTACTCTGCCTTGTAAAAGCCTGAGTGCTTCTCAAACCCATAAATTCCAACATATCTGTAACTAAATGTGATCTTACACCCGATCATTTAGTTCAGTTAGAATAATAAACCTATATTCCCTCCTCTAAAGCCCTTTTATCACATTACTCCACAGAAACAAGGGCCAACATAAACCTGACCACCCAACCATTCGCCAAGAAATCCCATGTCCAAGCCAAGATCATTGCTTTTGCTTGTATTCTCCATTACATATACACACACATACATACATAATATGTAACGTACATACATACATACATACGTATGTATGTGTGCATGTATTCCAAACTAGTCTCAAGTATAAGCATTGTAAAATATGATATTACATTAAATCCCAAAATATTACTAATTAAGTTATCCCAGGGAAAAAAATGGAAATTAGAGGAACCAGAGATTGGATAAAGCCCAGCAGATAAGAGCCTCCCCCCCCTCCTTCCTTCCCCCGGGGCTCCTTGGCGGTCTTAAAACGAGTTGACAATTTAATACTGTGGATTAACCCCATCTCCTTCCCCCCTCTGTACTTTTCCCCACATATTCCATCTCACCCCTCCCCTCATACAAAATCTTTGAAAAAATTGATTCAAAAAAAGAAAAGATTAAATTAAGGAATAAGAGTATGTTCACTTGAGCGAGTGAATGTGGCATTTTTAGGTACTCCCAACAATACCTGATCAGATTTTAGCTACTCCATAATGAAGTATCCTAAGGAATCAACAAATCAGAGGGGTTAACTTCAAATTTAAGCCAACGATCAGTAACCAACTTCAGATATAAACAAGAAACAAATTAGAGATAAAGAAATCAACAAACCAAAATAAAGAAATCAGAACCAATTCTTAACAGTGACCTGCTAAAAATCAGGAGAAACAATGTAAAAAGAAAAAGGGCAAAAACCCACAAAAGGTTACATTGTAACGTGGATATAAAATGGATAAATGGGCTTACTTGGAAAGTGAATAATGTAAAGCAGATGTTGAGGGATGGACAGATTCAAATGTTAAAATAGAGTCGAATGAACAAGAAGAGTGAAATTTTGGTAGGAGAGAATATTGGTGGCAATTAGCTGAGAGAATGTGGAAAGGGAATTGGGGAGGAGGGGCGTTTGGTGATCTGAAAAATGCGAAAAAACGGTTGCTTGATTTTGAAGAGGAAGAAGCAGAGCAGAGCGGTGAGGTAAGTGGAAGTGGGAGTCGGTGACAGGGACGAGAAATTGGGAGGAGCGGTTGCATCTGTTTTTGAGTTTATTTGGCGTTACTGCGGCTTTTCTATCTTATTTTAAAAAGGGAAGAAAAGTCTTTGGATCCGTGGTGGCTTTTTTTTAAAAAAAAAAAAAAAACCTTTTTCTAAGATAAGTGACTGGTTTATGTCAAACTAATTAATTCCATGTATTTGACGAAGAATTTGAAATTCTTTTAAATTCATCCAGTTGTTTACATTATTTATTATTTATGGGAAATTTAAATTTATAAATTATCAATTATTTTAGGACTTAAAATATATTTTGATAGTTGATATATTACAAATTCAAATGCTTGTTAAGCAATCAAAACAATTGAAGCGATTTAAATGGATTTAAATCTTTCGTCAAATTTTTCAATCCAAACGAAACCTATTATAGGAATTTGGAATTCCTAATAATATACTAGTTCATAGTTCATACTCAACAAGTCTTCAAAAAAAGATAGATAAATTAAGGAGGTGTTTGATTCATTATTATGGAATTGGAGTCATAAGCCTCATTCTAGATCTGCGTTTTAGACATTTTATACTTCTATATCTGGATTGTAACACTTTCATTCGTATTGAATGATTCCATAATGGTATATACCAAACAAGAAGATCATGTGTCTGTATTGTTTAAAAACATAGACATCATAGAAAATTTTGGCATTTCCTCGAAGAAAAGATTTGATGGAATGGTTGATTGTCAAACAGGCACATTATTTTGATTTGGAAATTTGTTAACATGGTTTCTCAAAAAAGAAGAGTTTTTCTAGAATTTAGGTATTGGGAAAATTTATAGACCAAAAAAAAAAAAAAAAAGATTTCCTTTGTACGTTTTGAAGTCCTTAATATGGAAAGTTTTATTTGCACTTTCTCACAAACTTCTCGTGAATAAGTTACTTAATAAACAGCCTAACTAATATGGCACTTCTTTAATCGCATTTTTCATTTTCATTCGATTGAAATGTGAGGAGGAGAAAAAGTGAGCACATTGAAGTAGGCATGAAACCACTGAGTTTGGTGGGAAGGGAAGGCATGTGGTCGTTCTTTCCCTTTCAAGAATTGCATCACGTCAAATAATAAAAGCAAAGGAAAAGGAAAGTTAGGAAAACACTGCACGGTATTTGTACATCTACATGTTTACTGATGTTTCGCCTAAAAAAAAAAAACTTTTCATGATATTGTATGCAAATCATTAGTGGGCAAGATTATTTGGAAAAAATTATCTAAAATAATAATGCGACACTTTTTGTAATGTAATACGTTTGAGATAAAAATTATGTTTATGATGTAAACCGGACAAAATTTGATTTTTTTTTTTTTTTTTTTTTTTTTTTGCAAATTTTGATAACCAAACAAACCCATGCATAGTAAGTAGTTCATACTAATTCTAGAACCAAATGAGAAACCCTTTACCATATAAAAGTGTAATCCAACATTCATAATTTTATACAATTAATTTGGTGGCAATGAGTTATCTGTGTCTAATATTTGATCTTGGAAGACAGACTGATCTTGGTTGGAATGCATTTTTTTTTAAGAAAAATGATTGTAATAATTTGATATATGTAAGATAAAAAATTGATTGAAAAATATGTATATGAAAAATATAATAATTTTTTTTTTTTGAAAAATTACTGTCCAAACAAGGCCGGATCTCTCCCACCGTCGGATTGTCAGACAGGCTTCATAGATGGGCATCACAGCTGCAGCTACACGTGCCTGGAGACTTCTGACCAACAGCTTGCTCGTCCTTGTTTGGTGCCAAACAAGTCCGCAACGCAGGAAAGTAGCCAAACAGGGGACGGGTTTGGCTTGGCAGTATAAATCACCTCGATTCCTATAGTTTTCCCCTATTTATAAAGAAATTAAAAAAAAAAAACTAAAATAGTTTCAAAAAATATGGTGATATTTAGAAACCCCAAGTATATTTATTTAAATTTGCCTAGACCTAATCAATGCTGGATGGGGGCATAACATGAACAATAATGTATTTTCTCTATCTTAATTTTCATTTCTTTTACAGACAAAGCACGTGTTAGGTGTGCAATTAATTCATCATTTTTTCCTTAAATAAAGTTTACAATTACATAAGGTATTTCAGTGACATGATCTGCTCCATGGTATTTAGAATTGTCAAGGCAAAAATGCCTTGTAAGTTTAGCTAAGAAAAAAATATCAGTAGAAGAAGAAGACGTGCTTTTGTTTTTTGATTAAAACAAAAGACAAAAAGGGAAGAATGAGTAATAGTTATCTCAACATGTGTTAAAAAGGAAGTCATGTTGCATGTTGAATTTTTATAGGTGTAAAGTGAACATTTGTAAATGAAATCTATGGGTTTGTTTGGATTGTGTTTTATTTTCCCAATTTTATCTGCTTACATCATCATTGCAATTTTCAATACATTTTTTTATATTCCCAATTACCTTTTTATCTCACACACATCACACCACAAAAAGTGCTACAGTAAAAATATTCCAAATAAAACACAATCCAAAATAAGAATGAAAAAATTGTATCTCACCTCAAATATATATATGTATATATATATTTCTTTAACCTCGTAAATGAACTTGATGCAACATATTGAGTGTGTTTTGATGGAAGTATTTGAAAAATTTTTAGGAATAATTATTATTAAACTATCTATGATGTAATATATATGAAATAAAAAATGATTAAAAATAAAAATTTGATTGTAAAACATGTTTGTGATGCAAGTAAAAGTTTTTTTTTAAAATAATGAAATTGTTTAGATAGGTGATTATTTATAAAAAAAATTTAATTTTATCATAAACACGTTTCAAATACTTTCTTATCTTTTGAATTGCCTTCTATCAAATCACAAAAAAGTGTTATATCATATTTTGTTCGAAATAATCTAATTTTTTTGTGAATAGAATAATCTGATGTTCAGATACACTCCCCCTTTTTTTTTTTTTCTCTCTAATTGTTTGTTTGTTTAAACCAATAGTGCAAAGTTCAAATGGTGCCCCAACCCCAAGGGCCCAAATTCCCATCTAGGCCTCCGATGGATTCCGAATCTGTCCAATGTCCCCGCGTCCAAACAGACCATCTTCGATACAAACCAAGAAGCACAGTACCAAAAACCAAACCATGAGGGTTCTCTATATATTTGTTCTTTCACGGACTCCTCCGTGCTCAAAGTAAACTCGACACACTCTTCGTGCTCTCCGCCACTTCGTTCCTTTCCCAATTTTCCTTCCTTCTCTTCCTCTCCTCAGATCCATTTTTCTCTCTTGATCCAGCCATGGCCTCAATTACAGGGTCCTTCACCTCCCTCTCCTGCTCACTCATGCCTAACCAGGTAAATTCAATCTTTCTTGATCTTCATTTTCTCTGCTCCTTACTTTTTGGGATTTGTTTTCAAGCATAGAACATTAAAGAAATTATTGATCTGTATATTCTGAGTGTTTTGATTTCTGTTTTCTGGTTAATTTAGATTCATCAAGCAAATGGGTTGCAAGTGTTTTCTGATTCAATCATGGATTTTGTTATTTTTGTTGAATTTTCAGCATGGGTGCTGTTCTGATATTAGGTTAATTTTTAGTCACAAGGGATAAAATTTGGATCCTTTTCACTTTTTTCTGGCTGGTTTCTGGGATTTGCAGATTACTCTATTAAACTATTCTTAGGCCTCTAAGTTTTGGATGCATGGAGCTATCTATGAATTGATTTATAATCTGATTGATGTCTATGGGACTCATATAGGAAATAAAGCAGAGTTCTTTCGCTATTGCTCAGATTGATTCTTGGTCCGAGCCAGGTTGCATTGATTCTTTTGGTGTTTGATTCATGCAGGCAGTCAACAGGGTCTCTAAATTGGGCTCGGTGTCGCTCTCTATCAGTGGGAAAAGTTTCCCTTCTCTACGGGTGCAGCCAGCTCGCTTCCGTGTGTCCTGCGCAGTATGTTCTGGTCCTTGCCATTCTTTTTTGCCTTAATTGACTCATTGTTTTCTTTGATTTAAAATCCATTAGCTATTTCTTCTAAAAGATTCAATTAGTCTAATGCGATTACCTTTAGAAGGGAAAAGCATTCGTGATGAGTAAGTTTATTGTGGGCAGTTGTGTCTAGTTAGATTGCAGTGCTGAACCTGATTGTGTTTGAGTTCCATGGCCTTTCTGCTTTCATTACCTAATGTGGTAGAGTAACTTTAGACCAGGAAAGAATGTTACCCGAGCATGTGACTCTGATTTCTTTTGCAATTATAATAAGTTGGTTTATTGTGCTCAAGTTTTTTCTCCCCTTTTGGGCTTAACTTTAGATAAACCATGTGCTTTTTATTTGTAGCCTTTTAGAATCTAAGGCTGTTTAACGTTCTTGCTTTTTATGGTTTAAAAAGTTGTTTTTTGGAAGAATTCTGGATTTGCTTGAGATTGGAAAAGTGCCTGAAAATATTATAGGTCGTGTGTTTCATCATCCGTGGTACATGTAGGGATACATGCGTCCAGTATTTGTCAATTATGCAGTATTATTTGTCATTATTCAAGGCTGCCTTCTACTTGAGCAGGCCAAACCAGAGACAGTGGACAAAGTATGTAAGATTGTGAGGAAGCAGCTGGCTCTTCCTGATGAATCTGAAGTTGCTGGACATTCAAAATTTGCATCTTTGGGTGCTGACTCTCTTGACACTGTAAGTTGTTCTTTACTGGGGCAAATTTTTGTGATGTCATCTTTCACATTTTCACACAAGTTTATATGCTATTATGTCTTTCTAGGAGCGTGCATAGCTAAAGGTTTTTTGATCTTTTCTGGTATAACTCCTCTTTGTTTTTTTTTCCCTTCTGTAATTTCTTCTCAATAATAGCGTACCACATGTGATAGTTTGCTGTCACTTACCTGCTAGTTGCTGCATTCTGCTGTAATGACCACATTGGTTAGAAATAAACAAGCAAACTATTTTTCACATGCTTTTCTTGCACCTTTATACCAATAAATCCTTAGTTTTCCAAACATTCTTGCTCTCTTGGTTGCCTTGGCAAAGCTCTGCTTGCAAAAACAGAGTTGGTATCATGCATTGGTAGATGCAGTGAGGTATTGAGGGGGGAAATTGGAACTTTTTTGTCCTGGATTTTGAAAATACAGCAAATGCTGCCAGAGCTTGTCTTCTATATTTCGCAGTCCCCAAGTTGATTCCCTCTCAGGCTACAATTGCAGTTTCTTTAGCCCATAAAGACCTTATTTTGCAGAGTCTGAGGTCATTTCTACTTCTTTCCTTTCCCCCCCCCTAGATGATTTGATTGAAGTTGATTGAAGTGCCAGGAGAACGTAAAAGTTCTTTGTTTAAAAAGTAGGTAGTATGATTTGTCAGATTATATTTCTTTTTTGTGGACTTATTTGTTCTATCCGCTTGGAGAATGATGGCGACATTTTATTTGGCTGATTTTCATTTCCCTTATTTTTAACTGAATGGGACTTTGCCTTGATCTGGATATAGGTTGAGATTGTCATGGGGCTTGAGGAGGAGTTCGGCATTAGTGTGGAAGAAGAAAGTGCTCAGAACATTGCGACTGTTCAAGATGCTGCTGATCTGATTGAGAAGCTTATCGAGAACAAGGGTGCTTAAATTTTTGAGCTGCAAATTGCACAAATAGGTTTTGATGTAGGATTGCCATTGTAGTTGCATCTTCGTAAAATCTTTATTGTCACCTTCACCTGGTTTTATGAAGAGCCATGCGTAGCTTCTTGGAACAAACTTTATCTGGGTGTTGTTTAGGCTTATTTATTTCCTCCAAAAGGAAACTGCATTGCCTGTTCCTTTTTCAGACTCTCATTATAATTGGGAATCCACTCCATAAGATGTATTTTTGTTTCGGAAATTATATTTATGGCAAAAGTTCTTGGATTTTGTAGTTGACATTATCATGATTTTTGGGTGATGATCCCCAGTACGAATGTCCTGATTAGAGTAGAGGTATATAGGGCCCGAGGCTTAATCTGAATATTCCCTGCCGTGAAATTTGGGTTTAGTCTCACTAGTTACAGGGGTTTGCTTGTTCATTTTTTTGAGCTGTTTTCATCAGGATTTCTTCCTCATTTCAGCCTTAATGCAACAACGATGATGACTTGCTGACTTTAAAATGTCCATTTAACATGGATTTTGTAGTACTGGTGCTGACTGCTGAGTGCCCTTTTTGCGTTTACATTTGATAAACGAGAAATAATCAGCTTAGCGTCCGATAGATAAACCTCCAAAGTCTGGGTCAACTGCGGAAATGGTTCGTCAATGTTACAACATTATTGTTTTGCCCAACAAAACGTGTTTACGCACAAAGTATAACATAATGTTAGGACTTGTTTGGGTAGTCATTTTTGCCTTATTTTTCATGAACACATTTCTCTATCACTTTTTTACTTCACATACATCAAATTGTTACAGTAATTTTTCAACTAAAAATTCACGGAAAATGCAATCCAAATACAACCTTAGTTTTCCGTGGCATCCCCTTAGGACTTGTTCTTCGGAACTCTAGCAAGCGTCTTCCTTGATGGAAATCTGGCAGGCGAGCATAGGATTCCTTGAGTATCCTTGGGACAAGTGATGTTGCAGAATGCCCATCTCTTTTGCAAAGTGGTTGGCTTTTGGTCTATGCTTTAAGATCTAGTGAAAAAGGAAAGAATTTAAGCACGCAAAGAAAGCAGTAAAAAAGAACAAAGGGGCGTAGGAATTCATTGAATCCTCGAGTGTAACCCCAGGTAGCAGTCGATATGCACTGATTTATGTTGTTAAAACTTGATATTGAGAACTTTTAAGATGGAAATTTTGCCAATCCTGGAATATTAAAATCTACTTGGGACAAAACCTGTCGCAGTCGAGCATATAAACTATAACACAGACTCAAAATTATATGTCTATAGTCTCGTTACATTTGTAGTTTGTGAAGAAATTGGTTTACAGATTTCCCCGCAAACTTTTTATTGCCTTTTGTCCAGGGTCTTTGACTTTTCCTTTTGTTTTGCACCTTTATTTACCTTTTCTGAATGAGTTCCTTTATGCTTAAGGGCCACCTGAACTTCGTACACTACTCAAAAGCCTGAACTGTGGCACTGAATGTGCCCCATTAGCACTAATCACTTAATTTGTAGGATAAAGCAAAGCCAGTGAGACACACACACTTACTCCACTCTCAAGTCTTGAAAGAGTATTTTATGCAAACAGGAGCAGTCTTTATATTCACAAGTTGGCTGCTTTACATGTGCAGCCTCACCTTTTTAATCATCTCCAGCTACCTCTACCAACATAGGACAAATTAGTTGCTGGAAAGAAGCTTCAGGAATCAGGCCTTAATTTAAATCTGATGTTTGAACAGTAATTGCATTATTGTTTAGTCCATAATTATGACCCCATCTCTAAATCTTACACCAATCTGCACAAGGCACTAGACTCTCCCAACCTTGTTATTAGTCGTTTTTCTTGGTTTCCTTGGAAGACCTGAAGTATTATGGCTAAAAATTGTGGTGCAACCGTGCAAGTGCCCCCAACAAATTCTGAAGTCAGATACAAAACTTGATCAGCCAACTATTGCTAAACTGATTTATCCTTTGGCATTTGTACCAATCAATATTAGCTAAGATTAATGAAAAATGCTAGCGAACAATTATCTCAGGTTATACAATCACTGAAAGTCAGCTAACAACTATGCATTCAAATAATACACTTTAATATGCTAGAATTGAATACCATTCATTACATCATATATCTTCTGTAAAGAATATGGACACTTCTGTGAACTCAGCTAGATGTAAAGAAACTATGAACCAAGTTATGCCAACAGATGGTATATTAATCGCATGTTTGGTACCTCACAGAGCAAGAGCCTGCACCACCAGAAAGGATATGAAGCTAAACAACTTCAGAAGTTCTGCAGACTCTGCTAGACTGAGATTCACTGCTGAAGAAAATGGCAAGGACCCTGCTGGTGCAAATGCAGGATCAGGGCCAACTGATGAAACTCCATCCGGATTAGGAGGGCTTGGATTCGAGGGAATCGTCGTTGTGGTAGATCCAGGAGAAGGTAAGAGAGGAGCAATATCTGGTGATATTTCTGTGTTCGGGGACAGTGGAGGATCAGGGAATATTGTAGGCGCAGCAGAAATGGTGGGAGTATTCTTCAGCGGAGAAGTGGAAGATAAAGAAAGTGATGGTGAAACTAGTAAAGCAGCAATGAGTGCCACTAGAAAGCAAAAGGCGGCCATTCTTTCTTTCTAATGATGATGGACTCAGTATCTCCACTTCTTGGAGACTGCAGTGACTGGAGGAGTCCAAGGACAAGAGGGAATTGTGGGGAAAATGAGTATATATGATGGATGCCATGATTATTATAATTTTGGGATCATGACCAATGATCAATGTGGGCTCATTTAGGATTTCTGTATGATCTACAGGTTGGCATGCTTGACGACAGAGTAGTATAATAGGCAGGAGCAGTTAATTTGGAGTTTAAAGAAATAGTACTACATTAGAAGAACAATTGTCAAACTCACTGCACCAGTTGGACCCTGCAAGTTGCTTTGTGTTTTTGACTTTTGTTAGATACTACTTTCTCAATTCTCATATTTCAAATAATTCCGTACCAAAATATTTTGTAGCTGAAACAATTCGTATTTGAAGAACTTTTTTTTTTTTTTTTAAAAAAAAGAAAAAATCAAACGTTAGTTTCAAAAGAAGCATCTAATAGTCCCAAAAATTTTAGCGTGCTGCAACTTTCTTTTTTATTCCAACTCCAACTCTCTCCATTCAACAAAAAATTTGAAAAGCCAAAAACATAAATAGCAAATGTATGCAGACAAGTTTCACAGAAGCTGCCATACGCACTTGCAAATAGATTACATAGTGGAACAAGCATTTGGATTTTCATCACTGAACATGGTATAAATCTCACTATCCCAACAGGGGTCGAGCACCAAAGGTTGTTGTATCTGTAATTGCTCTGAGGTTTCTTGTAATGCTGAATCCCCATCTTCTTTGTCTGAATGTGTGTCATCACCTTCTTCGTTGATCAAAATTTCCACTCTCTTTCCAGTTTTCTTCTTAATTTTCTGCACAACTTTTTCAGGATTGATTCTACCTTTCACTGCCACTCTTTGCCTAGGCATGTCGGTCATAAACGTCTCAACCCCTACATTTTGTGGTTTTTGCAATACATCCAAGGCGAAACAGAAAGAAATTTATGAGCGCTGTAAAATCATTGCCATGAAACAGACGTACAAATTTACATTACAGAAGCAAATTCAGGGTTTAAGAATTCGTAGGATGAAATATGTGTGCGTAGGAAGTTATTCCGGGGGGGGGGGGGGGCTTCCTCTAGTCTAATCTTGATTACTTTTTGTGGGGCAAAACTTATTTTTATTCAGGATGCATTTCAAAGAATTATCTGATCAAGGAAATTAAACGAAAAGATGAATAATATCCAAATCTTTTGTAAAGATGTTCCAGATTTTGAGGATGGTTGCTCTGCCTCCTGCCTAAAGATCTATTTACGTTAATACGATTAGACGTGCATATATTGATTCAAGAAACATACAACCTTCGAGATCAATGCATGCAAAATCTTGTGAATGAAGAATAGTGAAAACATATATAAGCCGGAGAAAGGAAGAAATTAACCTTTGATTTTGGAAATGGCTTTTGCAACACTTCTTTCGCAATGCATTGCAATGCATAATTGTAGCAAATGTCAAGATGATCAGTACAAAAACGATGATAAAACTCAAAGTCCAGCTGTGGAAGACTTGAGAATGTTCATAGGAAAATATTTGCTTTCCCTTAACCTATAAAAGTTAGCCAATTTCTTTAGTACATACAGGCTGGAGAATAATGGTGGAAAGAATAATTTAAGGTCCTTCAGTCCACTTTCTTTAGGAATTGAATAATGCTAATAAATTAAGAAATTAGTCAAGTCTCATTGGCGATATATTCTTAGTGGACATGCGCGCAAATCTTTGCAGTAAATCAAACAAGGTCAAAGTTTAAGAAAATCAATATATTCATCATCAGCGCAGTTTAAACAATTGAAACACAATTATCAGTAACAATACAATGTCAAGAAAGAGAAACCCCAAAAAAAAAAAAAAAATTAAAGAGAGATGATCAGACTACTTAGTCATTTGACATCTCAGCACGCTTCTTCAACAAATCAAAAATTTCCTTCATGCTAAAGGATTAATAACGCGGCAGTTTTTCCTAATTTCTCCGGCGGTTCCAGTCAGCACTTCAATGTTTCCCATGTTCACCATTGATCTTCCGAACTCAAAGAAGAAATTTCTTGGAAATTGCAGCCGATTCACGATTGCAGCTGAATCGGCATTTGTTAGAAGTGCTGCATCAGATTGGAATAGGCCCTTCTTTTGGTTGAGAATGGTGAAATAATGAGTATCAAATGAACGAGAGCTCTGAGGATCCATTCCCACAGTTGTTGCGGGGTTGGCCGGGTTGGGGCATTGTTGCTTCAAAGTTCCAGCGTAGGTTGCATCAAGACTTGGATCCATATCACCTTTGCCAGTGAAATTGAAAAGCCTTCTCGAGAAAGCTCCACAGTGGGCTACTCCAATGGTGTGTGCACCTATTTCAACAAAAATTTAATATATGAATATGTAACAATTAATATTTTTGCATGAAATTTTGAATTCATAGGATAACCACATTTTTCCATTGCATTCATGTTATCTCGGGGATTATTTGGTGTTCTGTTTGTCAGAACAAGAACACTAGTGAATTATGTAGGTAGTATGTTATGATTAATCTTAATTAATTTTGTAGTGCAGATGATTTTACCTGATAGTGCCACGAGATCATTAACGTTGAGATTTTTCTTGGCAAACAACTGTTGAAGGGTAGGAAAGTCTGAGAATGGAGAAGGCAAGTTTCCATTGACATCAGATATAAGAGACACCCTGCTGTCTCTTCTTCCGGTAGGAACTTCCCACAAATTCCGTCCAAACTGCAAGATATAACATGAGTAATATTAACTAGATTGCAAGTCATCTCTAAAGTTCTTTTTGCTTGGTTTTTCATGCGGTGCTGGCTGGTTCCGAATCTTTCCTACAGGCCAGCTACGGTGTATGATTGTTTACTTGCATGGGGATTAATAACAGACATAAACTGCAATTATATCAAGTTCTAGTTTCTCCTTTGTGTGTGTCTATATATATATGTGTGTGTGTATATTTCACTATAGTGGTAAGACTTACAGGAAAGGAAACAGCGTCACGAGCAGCCAATGCAAGAATATCTGCGCATGATACAATACCCGGGCAAGCTTTTTCCACTTGTGCCTTGATATTATCAATTGCTTCAAAGCCTCCTAGTGTTTGATTAGGTCTTGCATCCTTCTCTGATTGATTAGTTCCAACTGTGTCCAGGAGTATAGAGGCATCGCATCCCTGAAATTTTAGTGGGTTCAACTTAATTTAGCAAGATATATATATAAGCAATGCCAAAGCAGCCCACCTAAAAAATGAATGCATGGCTGTCCTTACTGTTTCTACATGCATGAAAAAAGATGTTCACTAATTCAACCGAGAAACAAAATGATGAGTCATGATACGCATGCATTGCATGCAGGCCTGAAAATAGTCGCCTTACCTTAACAAAGCAGTCATGGTAGTGCACCCTAAGCAATTTAGGAGCCAAGGTAGGGTCACTTCGCACTTTGCTTATTGTGAGGGCTTTCACAAGCATCTCAGCTTGGGGACAGCGAGTAAACCTGTAAAAGTTAGGTCTCAATCCCCCACCACCAGGGGCACCACCTCCTGCATTTGTAACCGTAATGGCTCCAAACACAATAATTGAGAGCAAAAGCAGAAGGCTAAACTCAGACTTCATTTTTTTTTTTTTTGTTTGAAAAAAAAAATCTGGCTAGTAAAATTTAAGTAGGAAAGTAGAGTAATATCACAAGCAAGAAGTAGCTAGAAGACTAAAGCTGAAAGAGAAGTTCGTTGGAGAAGCACACAGGAAACCTTGTAGTATGGCCCCCTTTTATAGGAAGTGGGAGCAATCCTATTCGAAGCAAGAGGGAAATTTCGGGAGATTATAAAAATCAACCTGCAATTTGGCCTTAGCCTAAGGGTCGGGAGAAGACTTATTTGTTCATATTTTCAAGTGGCATTCGTCTCCCAGTTTAGATAGAACTGCTATATAGTATCACTTTTCTCTTGCACGTCTGGCCATTTTCTCAATAATTTTTTCGACTTTCTATGATAATGACAGCAAAAGTCAGCGTAGAGATCTGATGATATGGATGCAGACCAATCCCTGATAGAAATTGTCAATGAATAATATACTCTGTCAATGATAGCGTAAAGTTTTGTACTCCACCGTCAGCTTGAATTCCAAGTAAGAGGAAATAAAAATTCTGTCCCTTTCCTTTCTGTAGTGTTATAACCTCCTCCCTATAAACAGCTTTCCTGTTTATATTTTGGTGACCTCGAGCTAATACGGAAACTCATTGCCTTTCAAGTTTTAGTAAACTAAAAGGCCAAAAAAAAAAAGATAAAGAAGAAGGAAAGAAAGATGATTATTAGAGAGGCTAAAAACAATAACAATGGACTCCTCTCATTATAAGCTAAGCTGTGATATCATGTCAATAATCACAATTATGTGCCATAACATTGATCAATTTTGCTAGCTAGTGAACTAACATTTTAGTATGCCTTGAGAGTCCTACTAGCTAATACCAACTACCAGCCGATTAATTACTTGGAAAATTTCAAAGCTTCAGTGCAAAGTTCTGTTCGAAGAAATTACTTCTGAGATCGAATTTCAATCTCTTTCCCGATCTTAAGACAGCTGGAGAAGACAAATTGTAATGCAAGTAATTCTAAGCCATTTTATAGCTGACTTCCAAGAGCTCTTCAGCGACCGCTTTTTTTTTTTTTTGGGACCTGAACGATTATTCTTACCTCGATTGCTTATGAGTTTTTCACATCCATCCCGGTCGGGTACAGTTTTCTTTTGATTTCTTCCTTGTAGCCGTTACCCTAATTGTATTATATATACAGAAAAGTCCTACGATTGCATGGGTGTCGGCTGGCACGCGGCTCCACAATTTCCGGTATTCAAGCTCGAGCGCCGAGAGACGGTGTTGGCTAGTTCAAAGTTGGTAGTTTGGTTGACTTTGACATTGTACTAGTAGTCCTATCCTACGTGTTCTCTGCATGGACCCATTTCGTTCAAGGATTAATGGATTATTATCCTGTTTTGTGTTAGCAAAATTAAGACCCAACAGCCATCCCCAACTAGGGCTGCAAACGAATCGAGTCGCTCGCGAGCGGCTCGAGTCAAGCTCGAGTCGAGCTCGAGCCGGCTCGACTCAAATTCGAGCTCGATCTCGAGCTCAGAATATTAGCTTGGGTATATATATATTTTTTTTTATTTTTATTTTTATTTAATAATAAAATTACGTATATTATATATTTTTTTTATTTTTTATTTTCATAGTAAAATTACGTATATATCCTTAATATTTTTATTATTTATTAAGAAAAAAAATATTATTTTATTTATTTTTTAAAAAATAAAATAATTATTTTTATTTTTTTTCGAGTTCGAGCTCGGCTCGACTTGATTCGAGTCGAGCTCGAGCTCGAAATTTGCCGGCTCGTCGAGCTCGAGCTCGAACTTGATAAAATTTAGTCGAGACTCGGCTCGATTAACTCAAAACTCGACTCGACTCGACTCGTTTGCACAACCCATTTAAGAAATGGCTCATATATGATAGCATATCAGTCAAAGACTTTCAACTTAATTGGAATTATTTTTCAGAGTGAAATATTTCAATTCTGCAACGTACCCTTGACCAAAATGGATTTTGTCCCCTCAGCACGATAACAAAAAATCCGAAGCTGTTCCAAATACGTGTACAAGTCTTGCTCCCTTTTTCAAAATCTTATGTTCTTTATGGCTGCTCTCTGTAAAGTCTAGCTAGTGTTGTTGGTCCAAAAATAATTTATTAGGAAGGAAGCAGATCCAGTACGCGGATTGAACCAAGAGGGCATGAAACAATCAGCAGTAAGATACACTACTGCGCTCATCCTTGGCAAAACTTCCCTCATCGATCAACTTGTTCATCAGGACCATATGAATCTGCATTTCAAGCTAGCCATAGGAATATATATATATATATATATATGTATATATAAATCAATTCAGGAATGCATAATACAAATAAAGAAGGAAAATGTACATCAGATGCCTCCAGGAGATGCTAAGTTAAAGATAAACAAACTCACATTTTTGCACGTTTTTTAGGACGTGAAGTTGCATTCCCTAAGCAATTTGTATTTCGACCAGTTCCTAAAACATCAACTAATACTGCATCATCTGCAAATTAGCATAAATGCCAGTAGATTAACTACAGACGGCATGAACAGTAGAAAACAAATTATGTGTCGTGAAGGACCATTTATGCAATTATATTAGATACCCTTTAACTTTTTTAATCCATTAATTGGACAGGTGTGGGGGACTTCAGTCATTTGATTACCATAAGTTGATCCAACAACGTGGATAACCAGACTAACTTACTGCAAATTTAAGACATTCAACTTTATGTGAAGGAAAAAAAAAACAAGAGCAAAAGATTATACTTTTTCCTTCGGTAGCGGGAGCATCAAACACAATTCCGGTGCAGAAATATCACTGGCATCAAGAATCTCAAATTTGCCTCGATCTATTACAGTAGTAATTTGGTCTAATGGAGGTTAAAAGAACAAATTATCGTCCAGCAATCCAGTATAAGCTTATATAAGTATCAAACTTAATTTTATCTTGCAAATTAACATTGAAAGTTCAGACCATCATTTCCTCCAGAAGTTCCATGTAATCAAACAAAAAGAGGCCATGAGAAATGGCTCCCAAATTACCAAGCCATGATGATAGGAGAAGGGTAGAAGGATACTGGAATTAACAGCCAGCAACTTCTTTCGGTCCTTCCGTGGTGGCTTTTTGTTCCCTGTGCCTCCTTCAAGCTCCAAACCAATTCTTCACTACAGTTCAATGAATTACAAAGCTCTGGAAAAAATCAGCAGAAACACAAATTCTGGTAAAGATCCATAAGGGCAAAGCTACCACACATTTAGCAAGGAGACAGGGGTAAGGCAAATGTTTAGGCCAAAAGCCCATTAACAAACACCAGAAAAAAAGGACATCACGATTAAAAATGTGTTATCATGCCCAGATCACACGACTGCATAATGAAACACATGCAATTTCGTTATGCAAACCATATCAAGTTGCTTAGATCTCAAACTCAAAATGACAACTAATGAGCACACAAGGAAACTTCAAATGAATATGTCTGCAGCAGAGATCATGACTAAATTGCTTAAAGAGAGTATGCAACTAAATCCAAAAATATGCATCTCTTAGTAAACTTACTCAAATATCAAAACCCCTTTCTTTTTATTTTATTAATATGTTAAACAAAAGGCTTAGTAGATATACACAAAGTCCAAACCATGGCTAAAAACAGTCAATCATGTTGCAAGTGGAAAGTAAAATAATTGATAGTATAGGGGAATGTAGTAGTTACAAGTATCGGCATTAACAAATAACAGCCCACAATGTCTTATTCATTGAGGTTTGCAAAGAACATGTCCATGAGACACATGCAAAAAACTCATAATTTCCACATCAATTACTGCATAATATTGCTAAAATTCTTTTCTTAAGTATAATATCTTGGACCCTTCAAGTAGAGTGAATATTGCATCAGCCACAACCATCAATAATGCATCACCAAGCAAACAGTTGAGAAACAACAAAAGACCCAATAAGATCCCATATTTAAAATACAGAAAAATGAGTAAAACAAAAAAGAAACCTAACCTGCATGAATTGCATATTGGCTGGCCTTGATTGGCTTCTTACATGCATTACAACATACCTTCAGAACAAGCAACAAAAATGAAGTATGTAGCACGAATGAGAATTCTGTACACAAGCAATTATGGCCAATTAAAATCACTGGCAGGTTGAAGTTATCAAAGGTCCTTTGAATCCATCAGGCGCAAGAAAAAAAAATATCTTAAGAGAAAATATTTCACCAGTTGAAGCCATATAGATGAATAATGACAACACTTTTTAGTAGAATTAAAAATATAAAATATAATTCAATTAAATTTCAAAATTCAATAGATGTGCTCAATAGTAGTTAGGGGTGAAATGCCACTTGAAGGCAGAGCTAGCTGATTGAAAAAAAAGATGCAGTATAATTGTTGTTATGTTTTCTGAAAGGTTACACTGTTTGAGCTTCACACAAACGTAGTTGCTATTCTTGAACACCCAATTTAACACCCTAAGCCTTTCTCATCAGGACTAACATCATTAAAAGGAGTTTGAAGAATCAAGATGCTATTGATGAGATTGCAGATTGAAGGCCACAATCCCAGAATGCAGAAGAGTTTTAATTTTTGCGCTTTGGGCTTGCATATTATTGGCATTTTACATTGACATGTCAAAGATTCAGATTCTCCAATGTATAGACAACACACCCAATGATGTCAGATATCTTCATAGTTAATACATTCCACTATTTTCAGCATGAATGTCTTCTAATATGTAATAAAGGCATTGAATACTTCCACCCTAACTCTGCAATATTGTCATAAATAATAAAACATCAAGTTTGTGAAGTAGGTATGCGAAGCAAGACTATGAACTGGTCTTTTAAGCCTTCCGAATTTGTGCATGCTCTCTCAAAAGAGCCAATCAACCTTGATGGAAAGCTCTTCACTCATAGAAACACCATTGTGTACTATATATATGAGAAGCAATCCAAGGACAGCAACTGATGCAAGTCCACAGGAAGATCTGTTCTCCTTTCTCTATTTGGTTTCTTTAAGTAAAGGAATATTCCATGAGAGAAAATTGGAGAATTTTCCAACGTAGAAAGTTTTCTTTCTTCTGTTTTCAGTATTGGAGGTGGGCTAGAAGGAATTAAGGAAAATTGGCCCACTTACAACATTTGACAGTTATCCTAAACACAATCCTCCATACAATCCCAGTACTACAAAAGATGTTAGCAACAAGTCAAAAAGAGAAAGCTACAAAGCTTACCAAATGCAATGGATCTGTCATCGGCCGCAAACCAAACACATGCATATCTACAAGACAAAACCATGAAGGCAACACTAATTAACTGGAATGAAACATCAATATAAGCTTAGAGCTTTGTGTCTTCTCGTCCAACAAATATCTTGTGATAGCTGTACTCTCTTATTAAAAAATTGCTATTTTTTTTTAAATGAAGGAAATACCATTACCCAGTTCAAGCAGAAAAGACAAGAGTGATAGAATTCTGCAATAAGCCATGTCAGAGACAAGCCCAAAACTTGTTGATAAAATGCTATTATCAAAGTTTGGCCCCTTTTTTATGACCGTTTCAGCACCAAAGGCAGGGGAAAATTTGCCATACACATTGAAGAAGCAAGATAGAATTGACGTATTAAAGTTAAATTGAGGACAAAGAGTTTTTAAGGTACAGTAAAAGTTATTAGCATGCAACCATATGCTGTACTAAATTCAAGAATTTCTGATCTCATGTATTAGGAGTTAGCCACATGAACTTGTTTCTCCATCCATCTTGAGGAATGGCTGGCTCCTTACAAAAGAAAACTGTGTCTTCTTCCGTAACCTGACTGAAAATTTAAAACTTGAAAGATATGATAGCCTTCTTCTTGAACTAACTATTCATCAAAACATGTCCATTGTACTGTAATCAACAGTTACATTCAAACCTATCTCAATTTGTGATTTATGCATCCATTGAATACCTATTTCATCAATTAAATTTGCTTCATCTGCCTCCCTGAATTCTCTGTGAATGTACTGCTGCACAGCTAATTTTCGTGGCCAAAGTCATCTGCTGATATGGGTGGAGGCCAAAAAAAAATAAAAAACAAGATTAGTATACTTATACAAATGAGACCTAAGAAAGCATGTTTAAGAAACTTTACAGCTGGACAGAAATGAAAACATTGTCAAGACAGTATTGCCTTACTATGCCGTAACATGTCTCCTTATTAATACGATAAATAACTGTCCAACCACATTTTACAATGGCCTCCAATTGAGCATTGTTCTCTATAGTATCCAAAGAAGTCGTGCAAAACTTAAAATTTGAACAGCACTCACAGCTCAGAAGTTGCTTAAAAATTATATCATTAACAGTGTAAAAGCAACTACACCATTAGCATCTCAGTATTTCATGTACTCATTTTCACTGATTGTTCAATACTCTATTAGCAGTGAGTTAATGTGTGGCAATTAGCAACTTAATAAGCTGACTGAGGCATTTCCTTGACAGTACTAAATACTTCTTGCCCAGATGCCTGCTAGTGTCATTACGTAACAAATTCCAAATTCCAAGACAACAAGAGAGAAGATCAAACGCGAGTCATTTCAAAAATACCCAACCCATTTTTTTCTCACATCCATTCCCTTTTACCTGCAATAGTATGCGACCTTGTTAGAAGCCTTGCCAAGGCTGCCATTCTCTGACTTCGAAGTGCAGACACCATTAAAACTTGGAAGGCAATGTGATCTATGCGCTGCCATCAAATTTAAATCATTTATCAAGAAAAAAAAAATAATAGTTACGAAATCCAGACAGTATCAAAACTGCCGTAGCTCTACCAAATTTACACAGGTAAACAACAAAAGCAGAATCTTTAAAATCTTCCACCCAGAAACTATTGTCGAAAAGTTGGGCCCTACTTATGGAATTTTGAATTCCGCACAATAAAATAAAATAAAATAAAAACAGCAGCTAAATCTAACCCAATTTACCAAAAATAGCTCAAAATCCGCAGCATTGCTCAAAAAAGTATCCAGTCATTGAAAATCTTAAACAAACGCAGTAAAATGGGTCCCACCGAACGCTTAATCATTCCAACCATGGTTTGCAAGAATCTCCTAATAATGCGTGTTTTCTCAAAACAGATTAACAATAATTACTTTTCCAACTAAAAATAACTGCATAGAACTCGAAGCGTGAAAACCCCACGAGAGAAGAAAAAGAAAAAATCAAACCAACAATTACCGTATTAACAACTTTCACTCACATGCAATATCACAGAGGGGCAAAAAAAGCTCAATGCACGTCAAAATCCACCACTGCGAACAAATAAAAATTGAAAACCAAACTAAATACATATAATTTTTAAAGCCGCAGCATTACCAGTATCCCAATTCCAGCTGATCTTCCAATGTCTGGAAAAATAAATGAAAATGCCCCATTTCTGGGGCCGAAAGGGAGAAACTTTTTCGAAAAATTCGAACTAAATTTATTTGTAGGAGGTGTAATCCGAAAAAAAATAGAAACCCTAGAGTGATATTTCTGGAGGGAGATTTTGAGATAATTGGGATTTATGATAATTTTGGTATTAAGTTGGCAGGAAAAAATAGAAGGGGAAAGAACGCGAAAATTCTGGGTCGCAGAAGAGGAGAGGAGAGAAGAAGAGGTGGCAAGTGGCAAGGTAGTATTAGTGACTGAGGTCGCAAATGCCAAATGGTAATTCGAGAGACAGAGAGGGAGGGATTTGGCAGACAGACGCAGCTTTCTCGCGGTTTTGTACAAAGTTTGGCTGTTTTTGGTGGCTGACGATAATTGACACAAGTTACATAGGTACGAATTGTTGGTGTTCTTCTAAAGTTTGGCTTAAATAAAGGCCAATTTTGGCTGTTTAGGTGTGTTTGAACAACGGTTTCCTTTTCCTTGCACCAAAAAAAAAAAAAGTAGTGGTTTACTTGTAAAAATCTTTTTGTCTTATATTATAAATATTTTTTAATAATATTTTATTTTTTTTTATTTTACATCCATCACATCAAAAATTTTATTATTTTATTCATTAAAAATATATTGTTTGAATACACGTATTATTCCAAATAATATTCCGCTTGCATCATAAACACATTTTTCAACTCATTTTTTTATATTTCCAATCAACTTTTTATCTCACATACATCACATAAAAAAAAGGGCTACAGTAATTATTCCAAATAATACTCTATCCAAACAAATCAATATTTTTATTCATAATGATCTCTTATCCAAATACAGGTCAATTCCCTTGGATGGGCACTAGAGTGTCTTATTTTATTTGCTTGATCCGACGGATTAAAGTACTACCATAATGGGACAAGATTGTTGCTTTGCTTGAGACCCTTCATATTAGTGCATCATTTTTTGTTTATAAAACAAAAATGATAACTTTTATGCTTTCCTCCCCTTAATCTTTATTTCCTTTTCTTGGTTTGGTTTAAGGGCTAACCCCTCGTCCCGTCTAACTTTGGATCTAAGGGGCATGGAGCCTGAAATTTCTAGCATCCAGTGGTCCAGGTAAGGCCATGAGATATTTTCAAGGTTTCATGAAGTTTGGCTCTGTTTGGATTGCTTGTTTCCGTCGGAAAATATTGTCATTTTTCGTGATCACATTTTCCTATCATCTTTTTCCCTCACATATATCAAATCGCTACAGTAATTTTTCCATGAAAAATGACGGAAAATGCAATCCCAAACACAACCTTAGTTTTCTATACAAAAGTATACTTAATTTGTAGAGAGTAAAAGAAATGTCAAAACTTTATAGTGGGCATGTCCCTTCTTTCTCAAGTGCTTATCCTGTACTATTAGACCACAAAAAAAAAACTTTATTAGATATTATTATGTGTAGTTTATGCTTCGATTTTAACAATTTTACTAGTCTAGATATTAGAGGTTTGAAAATTTTGATCTCAAGTACCTTGGTAGAAATGCATATTTACCAAGATTTTTTTTTTTTTTTGGTTTTGATTCAAAAGAGATTTTAAACCTTTATAAAAGAAAATGAAAATGGATGAGAGAGGATTTGAGAATTGAATAAAAAAACTCGTGGTTACCTAGCCAATATCGCATGAACAAAGCTATGCTTAATTTTGAAATAAATAATAACCATCGTAACCTTAAATAAGAAGTAAAACAATATCAGAAATTCTAAACATGAATATGGAGAAAGAAAATGTTACTGCTTTGGATGCCCAACTTCAACGAGGCCCAAAAGATCATATCAACATCAATGTTGTCAAAGTATATCACAGCCCACTTGTGGAGTGGGTTGCCGCAATGTTAAACGACTGAGAGAAAAGCGGCTATAGGTACTCCAAGGCTCCATGCCCATAAGCCTCAAACACCCATCACCCATATGTTGAACCTCGTTCTCCCTTCAATTTCATGATCAGATCAATCCAGCCATAAAAACGTTCAATGGCCTTAAAATTGGTTAGAAATGAGAAATCTCCAGCCCATTAAAACTTTCAATTGTTTCAAATACTTTTTTTTTTTTTTTGTCGATACGATAGATTTATAATTTTTGTATTTTTCTGCTACGAAGAGGGAAAGATCTGAACATGTCGAGAGAAATCGAAGCACTCGTCTGGAAGACACTCGAAGTGGCTTGCCACATTTTTGTGGCCAATGGTGGGAGACAGGATTTGATCCCCTGACCTCCCACCCCACCAACTTCCTAGAATCAAGTCTAGAATAATGCATATGCTCATGAGTTTATATATACCTATTTTGTTCAAGTATGACAGCATAACCTAAGTCTGATGCATCTTTTTCTACTATCATATATGTATTTGGATGAGATATTCCTACGAATGGAAGATGAAGATGTGCGTGCATGTATGTGTATATATGTGTGTGTGTGTGTGTGTGTGTGCACGTGTGCATGAAGATGTGTGTGTGTTGCGGAGTTTATATATACCTATTTTGTTCAAGTATGACAGCATAACCTAAGTCTGATGCATCTTTTTCTACTATCATATATGTATTTGGATGAGATATTCCTACGAATGGAAGATGAAGATGTGCGTGCATGTATGTGTATATATATGTGTGTGTGTGTGTGTGTGTGAGCGTGTGCATGTGTTGCGGAACTCCATCTCTCTCTCTCTTCCTCTTTGGTGTTTGGTGTTATTTTATTGGATTCTTTTTTGTTTTGTTTTGTTTTCTTAATGACAAAGATAACTCGCCCGAATCAGATCACCATGACTTCGTCTCTTAGCACCCCACGTTAACTAGGTCTTTCCAGTTGACTCTATCTGAGGCAACAAGTGACTAAGACGAATAAGAAAAAATACAAAACAAAAGCACTATATATGGTTCTATCGCCTAGGACCACGTCGACAAGTGTTATCGCTCATGGCTTAATTTTTTGTGTTGATTATATATATATATATATATATATATATATATATATATATATATATTATCACCAGCCAGCATTGATGCTCCACGTAAATAAATAAAGCATAAAAGCAGAAAGTATGAAGTGATGTTTGGTACTGCGTCAAACACACTCAATTTTTTTAGAATCGTGCACCCTCAAAAAAGCCAGGTGTCTCTCAATTTAGTAATTTACATCACTACATGAGTACAATATATTGGCGTGACAGATTGCCGGGGGCCGTCGCCTTGCTGGCCTGCGCCATTGCTTCACGCTTTCATTCATGCATGCATGCCCACATCTATGTGAGTAGCTAGTCAATGATCACAATATCAGCACAAGGCATTCAGCAATTGGGTTATTGTTAAAAAGTTGTAAATCCACATTCAGGAAATTAGGTCCTGTCTGGATCGCAATTTTTTTATTTTCTGTAGAAAAATATTTTGTAGCGATTCGATTATTAAAAATAATTGAAAAATGTGATTACGGAAAACGTAACCGTTTTTCTTCTTTGGAGAATTTTTTCTACCTGGCTTATATTAGAATGATTTAAGTGGCCCAAAAGCTTTTAAAGTGAATCCTTGCATACTGTGCAATACTAGTTGAGATCCCAGAAGCATATTCTAGAAAAAATCATTTGCCAAAAGTCTCAACACAGATACAAAAGAAAACAAAATATCAGAGGTCCATCGATCTTTGTACTTCTAGACCCACATGTTTGCACTCATTGGGAATCTGCAGGAGGCATCCTACTAATCTCGATACTTTGGACCATTGGATTTGGATCATCATAGTGTTAAAAAAAGTTTTGGCTCAACAAAATAAAACGTGTACGCCTTTAATTTGACCATGAATATATAGTCAAAACACAAGAAGCCGATGAACAGCAGAATTTACTCAAATAAGAAGGAAGCTCATTAGTTGACTTAATTTTGGCTGATACAATCGATGGTAGTTAAAATCAAAAGAGCACAAAGCTTGCACGGGATGCTGACATAATGAGATGTAGAGTAGTCGTAAAAAGTCTTCTTCAATTGGTTAAAGGCTTAAAGCAGGAGCTGTGTCGGGGTTAAGCGAAACAGTCATTATAGTTTTGCTTGCCAAAAAGAGAGCTAAGAAAGGAACCCCATGACTTGTTGGCTCGAACCAACAAACACCAGTACGACGTTGGCACTAAGAAAATGCAGCAAGTAGTTGGCCATCAGATTTTGCTGAGGCGCACTTGATGGCGGAGGTACCATTCGTGCACCTGGAGTGGCAAACCGCTCTTGATGGTCGCTTTCACTTGGTGAGTTGTGAGCCAGCTTTTAGTCCCCATGCATCATAAACTATACTATAGTATGGTATCTTCATGAATGAGGGGTCGTGGAAGATCGATATACTTAGAAAATTCATCGGAGCCTGTTCTGCATTCATGGGACTTAGGCATGCAGGCTGCAGCCATCACTGAAGGTTGATGGCCATCACTGTTCTGCGACAGTTATACCGACAGAGAAACGTTCTTGTCCTTGTTAATTCCAATCCATAGACACTCGAATTCTATTTTAACGTAAAAATGGTAGTTTGATGCCAAGAGAATTACGTACGTACGACTGTTATTTGATATACTGGGTTTTATCTCAATTACAGATGATTACTTGTATCGCGGGGGGCAGAATTTGAAGATCATCAAGGGCGATACTGCAGGTTAAATAAAGGAATTTGATCAATATCTACAATAGGCAGCAAAAAAAAAAAAAAAAAAAGTCTCAACAATATCACTGATTAGAAGCATAAGCAAAGCAAGCAAGAAATAAGTCGTTGGCATCTACATTGATTTTTTTTTTTTTAACGTAACAACGCATTTAGTCTAGCCTAACCTACTCCTATTCGGGGATTGGGGGAGCCTACACTAAGGGTGGCTCAACTGAGTTGGAAGGATTTGATAAGGACTGAACTACTATCAAATCCAACGGGTGCACTACACATTTGTATGGATTTAGAACAAATCTCATATACATATAGAAGCAAATTGATAAAAGGCAAGATTTGAACATTTGACTTTTTACCCTAGAATTAATCTGATGACTAACTCCTCCGGAGGGAGTTGGTTGCATCTACATTAATTGATCGGAAAAACTTTTGATTTCATTTTTTTCGTAGCCTATGCTTCTTTGGATGTAGGACGTTTGCATGGCAGTTTTTTGTCATCTTTCCCGTAGAATGCCTAGTCTGTTTGGCTGGGCATAGAATTCTTTATTCATATGGATAGGAGAGTGAAATCAAGACACCCAAAAGGCTATCAACTCGAACATGGTCCTCGGGATTCAGGACTGTGCCAAAAATTTCCCTTGATTAGAAAATTCATGGGATAGTTAGGGGTGCAAACGAGTCGAGCTCAAGCCGAGCTTTGGCTAATCAAGCCGAGCTCGAGTTAATTTTGTGAAGC